AGCGAGGGAGCCTGCCCAATCAACATCACAGTACCTAGAGCCTTGGACACTTTCTTTATCTTCATATAGTATACCTTGTTAGAACTTGCGCGCAGCGAAATGTTTGCGGTTACGGACAAGACCAAAAAACCAAGAGGGGGGATGAATTGGTTTAGTTATAAAAATTAGGGTTTTTAAAATTTGGATTCTAGGGAGGTGTTCATCCTTAATGGGTTTCTAAGGAGGTGATTGTCTTTTGAATTAGTTTACTTTTTGCTGAGTTGATTGTAATTTGTGATCTGAATTTAAAAGATAGTGAATTGGGGTCACTCTTGTGTTAAGAGTTGACTGGGAACTGGATGTAGGGTTGACTATACCCGAACCAGTATAAACCACTGTGTGTTCTTCTCTTCCCTTATCTTTTTTACATTGCATTACTCTCCTTACACTCCTTATTTTTATCCCTATCTTTCTCTATCTTGTTGATATTTTATCTCTGATTATATTGCTTCCTCTTTATCTTTGTTCAATTTGATAATTAAAATTGAATTAATAAATATTAGACATCTTAAAATAAATTTTTAATTTCGCATCTATTTTAATTTGTGCATCTATTCACCCCCCTCTAGATGTCATTTGTCTAACACAAATTTCTCAGGAGGCACATTGCTTCTATCTTGTTCAAGGTGGACATGACTTGGCTAAGGAACCACATTTCAACAGATGCGGATCAAGAGAGTTAATTTGTTCCATTTAGTTTTTCGGAAGTAATGGAAGAACTTCTTGAGAATGAGATAGCAACTCCAGTAGACATTTGAGAATGAAGATTAAACAACCAAAATGAAGGCAGCGAGTCCCGACGAGACCAGTTGTGGTGGCGCGATGGATTTTCGACGTGAGGAAGGCGACGCGTGGGTTTCATGTGCCTAGCAACAACAAACAGATGTGGGAAGCGTGGCGGTGCATGGGGAACAATTAGCCTTCGGTAACAGTGGGATTGGCTGTCGCCTGGAGAGACGCTTCAAATCCGATGGTTGATGGTGAAAACTGCGATGGTCGGCGGCGACCGATAGTGACAGACAACAGCAAACGACTGCAAGGACATGTCGAAGATGACTAAGACCAGCAAAGTGGGATCGACCTACTCTGATATCAACTTAAGTTTAAAACAGAGAGAAAATATATTTTGGAGGGTATACGAGATCCCTCTTATGATCTTCTATTTGTAATGATAGAAATATGATATAGTGGGAAGATGGAAGATAAAAAAAAATCTGATACAGGTAAGATGGAAGATCAAAAGAAGATGAAAGACCAAAGGGCACACTCTAGGTTGAGATGAAAGACCAAAGGACACACAATAATTATACATAGACTTAATTATTCTAACAACCCTATCACACTACGAGACGCCATCAGCGAGTTGTGTTATTTGGGAATGCATCTCTAGTTAGGTTGTAAATTCCGTCCAAAACTAAATATTGACGAGAGACCGATCGCGAACAAGTACCGCGAGGAAGAAATGAAAAGGACTTTGAAAAGATACTCAAAGAGTGCTTGAAATTTTTGAGAAGGAAACAAATGAGGACCAACGATATGTTTTGGTTAGATATGGAATGGTGAGAGTCAGTCCGTCGATCGACTCATGACATGAATTGACATGGATTGCAAGAGTGGCCGAAGACCGAGTTGTCAATATGCTCGTGGACATGTCATCTTCATGATCATGGACAGTAGCGCACACCCACTCACACTAGTATAGCACAATTGATGATTTTCGATGTTCACACCACAGTAGTACATGGAGGTGTCAATATGGGTTCTAGCCCGTGTGCCAACCCAGCTTACCACGGGTTCGAGTCGGGTTGAGTTCAATTTTTTTCATTTCTACCAATAATGGGTTAAAGATGAACTTGACTCACTTAACCTATGGGTTAAGCAAGTTCGAGCCGGATTATGATGGGTTGACCCGCAACCCCCACCATTCATTTTAAATTTTAAAAATAATTATAATAATTTCGTAATCCTAATTTCAATCGTGTCATAGCATTTGTCATGCCAACACCACAACATTCTAGTCTTACATTTCAATCGCACTACAACGTTTGTCACGCCACCGCATTTGTCACACCTCTACATTCGTCATGCCACCACGCCATCGTGTTTTAGTTGTACCATAGTGTTTGTCATGTTCAATTGCATTACAACGTTTGCTCTACCACCGCGCCATTGCGTTTTAGTCCCGCGATTCAGTTGTGCTTATTAGAAAATAAATTAATAAATGTGGGTTAGTGAGCCAACCCACTTAACCCATCAACCCATAGTGGGTTGAGCCGGGTTGTGAAATTTCTGGCTCACCATAACGTGAATTGGGTTGAACTTGCCTATTTTCAACTCAGTTCGTGGTGAGCCAACCTGTGTGAGCCGGGTTGGCTCACTTTGACACCCTTAGTAGCACGCATAATTCAAACTCTTGTGCTGCATAGTTGTTTTTCTGCTAGTTCTTTTTTGGATGCCTAGGGAAGTTTTGACATAGTAGTGGCCTGCTGTTTTTAATTGTTTGAAACCACAACTACATCCTTCTCACATCTCAGAATTATACACTTTCTAGTTTGGATGCAAATTGTTCAAATTGAGTAGAATTATGAGCACACACGGGAACGTATTAGCATCAAATAAGATAACCAAACACACATAGAGTCACTTAAACCAATAAACAACATTTTTCCATGCATTTATTATTTTAGCATCACATTACATCAATAGTGCATCCCCGAACATTAATGATTTATGGATATTCTCAAACAACTAAGGGCATATAGATGCACATTATGGGAAATATGAGAATTTAGAAATTGAATTACTCAAATTTCACCCCCAAATGAACCATGACTTATCATCAATGGAAAGGCTTCCATGAATTCCCAAAAATTTTCCTTTATACAAGAACTAATTCACATATTTAGTTTATTGCAATTTAATGGTATATCAATACTTGGATTACTAATGAATAAATAAATAAAATATTAAATTAATGAATTAATTCTATTCATACTCTCTTTTCTTCAGAAGCATAGACAAACAAACTATGCTTAAATGTGACAAACATACCCAATTTGCTTAAAAACCAGCCAGGGAATGGGGGCTTTGACATACAAGTACCCGGAATTTTCCTTCAGTTACATTAATAACGCTAAGTTGTAAATCATAGAAGAGTCTCCAAATATTAAGGGAAAGAAATTCTAGTCGCAATCATTGAGGAAACTATATTACTAAATCTTTCCAGAACATAATCACTGGTTGGAAATACATTTTAAATGTTGAACTTTTATTCTGTTTCCACATTCAAATATCATACAATCTATGATTTTGAATCCGTTGCTCTACTTTAAAAGTATAAGATTATGAAATGATGTCATAAAACCCTTCGTGCAAGGTAGTTAAACTCAAGATTCTATTCAGACAAAATCATAAAAATTGTTACTCGAAACTAAGATTCTACAAAATATATATAATTCATATATATGCATATAACATAGCATAAATAATAGAAGAAAAACCCATGTAACACGCCAAATATTTAATTAAGCTTAAATTTATAATCATAGATTAACAAGCATATGAAAGTCATAAATGACAAACAAAGCAACTTATAATAATGTAGTAATCCCAAATGACTACTCCTAGTACAAAACACAACACTTGAACACCTAGACTAGACCTTTATAATAGATAATCTACATTAAAATCATAATCACTCAAGAGATCCTCGTTTCTTCCGTAGAGAGAGAGAACCCATGAACCACACAATCTGAATAGTAGAAGCAGAGGAACCAAATAAAGAGTTAGACAACCACAAGCATGGCAGAAGAGCTCTGGTAGCAGTGGTTCACGCAACGCTTTTGGGGCTTGGGTGAGAGGATGCAGATTTTGTGCTAGAGGTTGAAGATGCAGTGATGTCAGATCAGCGAAGGCGTTTTTCTCTACTATTAGTGTTGGGGGTAAAGAACAGTTGGTTTTGGGGCATGGGTTTTATGGGATTAGGTTTACAAATGCGTACAACCAAAAAAAAGAAAAAAGAAACTTGATCCATGGCTGAAAGTTGGCACAGAAAAACGTAATCTGCGCAAACTTGGCAACTCTGATTCCAGTTTTTTCAATTCTACATGGCAAGTTTACTGATGCTGCTCAGCATCAATTCTGAGCATGAACGAACTTGCTAAGGCATGACAAAAACATAGAATCATGTGATTTTGACTACATTGCCTAGGGTGTCACTTCAACAACTTTTAATTGTCTATATGAATCCACTTGAACATTGTTAGTGGTTTGAGAGGATAAATGGTTTACAGTGGCTCACTGTCTAATTAAAAGTTTCTGATCCACTACCCAGCAACGTTGTCATGTAACTTTGGAGTTATTGAGGAAGTAAAAGGAAAAAGAAACCTTACCTTTTCCATTTTACATTTTTCAGCATGAAAATTTTAACAAGGTTAGCTGTCAGATACTTTCTTATTTAGGAGTAATTAAAAAATATGTGCTCTACTTTGAAATAAAATGTCAGTTCAAGCCTACCCTTGTTCATCCAATTTCAACAACAAGGACTACTAAACGCCAAAGCTGGCTTGGTACTACTCTGGATAAAATCCCCAACTTCAACTATTAAATAATAATAAATGTTTAAGGTCACTCCAATAATTAACTGGAACAAATAAATATTTCTAGCAGTTGGTTAAAATATAGTGGATCCAGCAGTGCATCTGCGAACATCCAAAACCAGCCTAATATGTGTGTCAGTTCAAAATTCCTATATTCTACTAACAGAAAGTAAGATATGTTAAGAAAATGGATAGGTGGTGTAGTTCAATTCTACAAAACTAACTTATACGATGAGATTTGTAACTTATATAATATAATTGGGTCATATCCTAGTTTCAAAAAGTTATATTAAATTTGGGAGACAACAAATTTGTATAGTAATCAAGGACATCACAAGAAACTCCACCAGAATTTTGGGAAAACTAAGGTGCAGGTACCTCATCATCATCATCTGAAATGTCAATTACTATTGCTCCCTTAACATTTCCACTGTTATTGCCAAGATGTTCTACCTTTACTTCCACCAGGGACTGACTATCATCAATTTGAACAGCCGGCTCTTCAGAAGATGGATACTTCCTCTTTTGACCAGCCCGTTCCTCGTAGTTTATCTCTGGTCCCCCCCCTCCATTTATGTTGCTCATGTCTTGCTCCTGTTCTGCAAGAAACAACCACTTCTTCACACACAAGATAAGGAGTGTCAAAAAAAGAGACTATATCCAAATCCTCCAGTCCAAACATTTTTTTATATATACAAAATTAATTAAGGGGATGATGCTTTATTCCAAGATAGGAAAAGTCTCCGGACTCAGAATACTAGCGAGGGACGTACATTTACTTCACCCCAAAGAGACAAGTGGGAACTCAAACCTACATGGTCAAATGTGTAACCCTGTTTTGCTCTGCTCATCCATTCCCTCGAAGTTAGTTCAATCAAATTCTAAAATCAGACAACTGGAACAAAGAAAATAACCCTGCTAACAAAACCTTAAAATCCCCAAAAAGAAAGATATGTTCTCAAATCAATGCAGCATGAACCAATCATTCTCAACTTGAAAACTCAACAGATGGCATAAACCACGTGAGGTACCTTCACTCAACCGCGGAAGGCGTTCCAGTTTCTTCTGCAACACGTTTATCTTGTCCTGGGGGAACAAAAAGCAACACAACACAACACATATCAACAAAGGCCGAAACTTGAATAACAAAATCTTCATGCAACATAATTTAAAACATGTCATGAAGACCAATTACAGTAAAAAAAAAACTCACAAGCTCGGATTTCACAGGATGGTCATTTGGGTTAACCCCTCTGCACCTTAACTTCACTGAACACAAAAAGGAAAAAGAGAAAAACACTGAATTGAAGAGGAATAACTAGATTAACAAAAAGGGGTGTGCGAATATTGTTTTGAGGGAAGAAAAGTGCAGACATGAGAAGAGGGTGGAAGTCAGTTTGGCGAGGGAGAAGAGCGAATGAGCGCGTTCGAGAAATGGCAATTCAGCGAGAAGGTCAGGGTGGGAGAGAGAGAGGAATTGGGGTAAGTCAGTCTCGAGCTGTTGAAGGCTTCCCAAAGTGCGGTTGAGAGTGTCTATCACTGCTTCAGGTACTTCTACGCCATCCATTTCGCTTCCTTTCACCATTTTTTTGTTTTCTCTTCAACACTGTGACATGTTTGTCGAGGTATAAAAATGGATTATTGAAATTTTTTTTATTGAAATTTACGAAGTATACAAAACGAGGGTAAAATAAAAAGAAAAATATTCAAACGATATATTTGAAGGGAAGAAAATATACAGAAGAATAATAAATATTTGTTTAGCAATATATTTTATATAATATCAATTTATCCATTACAATTTTGATCTTCGTTGTGTAAAAATTAATTAATTACATGTCATATACGTAAGTGACATCTATATTAATATATATGATTTTAATTAAAAAAAATGATTTCATAAAAGATCTTAACTAATTATATACATATATTCAAAGTCGTCAAATTAGCAAAGTTTTCCTATTGATGAATTATTTTCACTTACAATATTGGATGAAATTTAAATCCATACAGATAAATGTAAAACTAAATATTTTTTTAGCAGTATATTTAAAACTTAATATTATAATTAATAATGTATGAAAATAAAAAAATATTTTAAACATAAGTATTTGTCATAATTATTATATAAAAAATATATTTTATCCCTATAAATTTTATAATAACTATTATGTGATAAGAAGAAAAATAGAAAGAAAAACTAGACATTAGTAAGGTGTTTAAAAAATAGAATGTAAGAGAATCATTATTTTAAATAAAAATGTAAATGATAATTACCGAAAAATTATTGATATTAATATACATCCAATTAATATGTCACACGTAATTGACATCATTTCATAATAATATTTTTTATATATATAATTCATTTGATTAGATGATATATATTTAAATAAATAAAATACATTAAAAAAAATAAAATAAAGGTTGGTGTTTAGCCAAAGAAGAAAGGAGATGAAAGGAAGAGACCAAGAATAATAATGTGAAACACTTGAATTGAGTTTTTTATTTTTATTTTTTTGAATAATTGGGTTATTATCCTTATTTATACATTTTAAATCCCTTAAGGTATGTTTGTTTGGGAAAACGTTAACATTGATATTTTGTATACAAAGGGAACATGTGTAATTCAATCTTGTGATGAATGTATGTTGAGGATTTATTTGGGTTTAGGTAATTTATTTTTAGGATATTATGTTGAATTTATAGCTCTTAATTGTAATCATTCCAACTTTATAGATGCAATAGGTAGAATTTGGAAAATTATTTATTTAACATCTTATAATTCACCCTTTGTATATGTTTCATTTAATGTTAATGAATATGAGTTAATGGTTGGAAAATATACTCTTTATATTTAAGAGTATCAAGTTTAAGAGGATGAACTACACACATTTCTCTTTTTTATATGATTTTTTTTATGCATGAGAGATGAATACAAAACACGATAAATTAAAAAAAAAGTTAATAATAATATTTAATTAATTATAAGAGTAAAATTGTTGAAATCTTTTTAAATTGTTATTGACCATGGGAGAAAATGAAAATATGTTTATCATTACTATTTGAACTATGTAAGACATGAGTTGAAAATGAAGATAAAATAATAGTTTTTACATTATGAGATGTATGTATGACTTTAGGTCTTCTTAAAGTAGGAGAGAAGTTAATTTTGATGAAGATATTGATTGTCATAGGAGAAATATTTTTGCTAAAAATCATGTTGTATTACAATTTTTTTTTTTTTTTGATAAATTTTAGCAATTTGGTGGTGAGGATGATAATGAATTTTGTATACTTTACATACTTTTGACAAAGTTTGATTTCTCAATCACATATCTTATTATGTGTTTAGGCTTGTTCAATACATTAGATGATATAGCAGTGTTCATCCTTGTTCCATGTTGTAGTTCCATATTGTAGGATGTGTATTAATATTACAAGTAGATTATTAAAATTATAAATAATTTGTTACAATAGGATTATTTACTTTTATATATATATATATATATATATATATATATATATATATATATATATATATATATATATATATATTGGACAATGGCTATATATATATTTATTTATTTATTGGACAATGGCTAGGTTTAATGTATTCACACTATACTTTGGACACATTTGAGCATGCATTGAAATATCTTACAAAAGGTATTTGACATGATGAATGTCTTTCCTTTGTGTCTCGAAATGGGTTGGTGCTATAATTTCTAAGAAAAATATATCAACTTGTTTTAAGGAAAAAATTGTAAGAATTGATTAAATTTAATCTTTATTCATTGTTAAGTAGAGTAGCATAAATTTGATGTACTTTTTTTATATGATTGATAGGTTGTTGAATATTTGACTATAATAAATGTTGTTGGATATGACATAGTTAGAGAAGTGTTTGAAAATTAAGACAAGAGATCTTGACAATAGAATATTTATTGTTTGATATAATAATTATATTATTGTAGATGATAGATTTTTTTTATTTAGAAAAATAAAACAATGGAGACAAGGATATCAAAAGTGTAGGTAAAATACTAATACAAAATGAGCTTTTTACGTCACGTTGGATCCAAAAATAACCGACTTAAAAACAATGTGATGACAATTTTGTAAATAGTGGACACAAATTTTACGTCAGACCTAAAAGGGACCAACGTAAAATTCGTTTTTTACTTCAGACCATTATTCACCCAACGTAAAAAGAGACTTTTACACTGATCCCTTCTAGGTCTGACGTAAAAGTTGCATTTTATTTTATTCCTCCACCACTCTCTCGTCTCGCGCAACAAGGGTTTTTTAGAACAATGACGAAAATGACAACGAAAACGACGATGAAAACGACGTTTTTCACGCCTTCTACTGTATGTTTCGATCATTTTGACTGAGAAAAACATCAACATTATGTCCCATTTTTTGATTTGATGTTTCTCTCTGATTGAATTTGAGTTTTAAATCATTTTTTTATATACTCGATGTTAGTGTTCTATGTCTTCTGTTATATGTTTAAATTGAATCTGTGATTATTTTTAGGGATCTCAATCATATTATTGCATGAATGTCTCCACTGGATTGTTATTGGAATGACATGATTTGTTTATTCGTTTGAGTGCATTTTCGATTTACACACTGCATTTATGTCTCAATAACTTTCTTTGTTGTTTGTATATTAATTTTTTAAAAATATAAATTTTGAATCTCTATGAGTGACGAAAATTTATAACATAGGTATATATGAATCGAAGTTGGATGAATGCACATCGTATTAGTGAAGAGTACGAAAAGGAGGTTGAGAAATTTTTGAAATTTGCTAGTAAAAATGGAAAAATTATGAAAGGGACATATTATTGTCCATGCATTCGTTGTTTGAATCAAATTCGTCATAAACTTGAGGATATACATGATCATTTGTTTGTTTATGGTATTATTAAGAGTTATACAATATGAACATGGTATGAAGAAATATTAGACATCCCAACTATGTGAACAACAGAAAATTTTGAAAAAGGGATGAATGATAATCTATAGGATATGATACGTGATATTGATGAAGAAAATTTTATGAAAGCACATCTATATGACTCTTTGAAATCTGATTTTGAGCAACAATTGTACATAGGATGTAGTTTTACAAGATTATCAACAACTTTAAGATTGTTTAGTTTAAAAGTAAGAAATGGATGGACTGATAAAAGTTTCACCGAATTATTGGAGTTGTTGAAAGAGATGTTTCCCGGAGATAATACATTACTTATTCGTAACTATGAGACAAAGAAGATATTATGTCCAATGGTATTAGAGTACAAGAAGATACATGCATGTCTTAATGATTGTATATTGTATAGAAATGATTTTGCTACATTAAAAATGTGTCCGACATGTGGTTTGTCACGGTTCAAAAACAAAGTTGATGGAAGTAGTGGTGAGGAAGAACTAGATGGTCCCCTACTAAGGTGTTATGGTATTTGCCAATAATACCTAGGTTTAAAAGATTATTTGTCATAAAAGAAGATGCAAGAAACTTGACATGACATGCGAATGGTAGAAAATGTGACAATCTTCTTCGACATCCAGTTGATTCTTCACAATGGAAAATGATTGATGAAACATTTTCAGAATTTGGTGCAGAGTCAATAAACTTGAGAATTGGATTATCTACAAATGGAATAAATCCTTATGGGAATTTAAGAAGTAAACATAGTTCATGGCCAATTTTGTTGATCATTTACAATTTGCCTCCTTTGTTATGCATGAAGAGAAAATATATTATGTTGTCTATGATGATTTCAGGACCTTGACAACCAGGAAATGACATAGATATATATCTTAGTCCTTTAATTGATGATTTGAAGATGTTGTGGGAAACAAGAGTGGAGATATTTGATTCATATCACGAAGTGAATTTTAGGTTGCGTACAATGTTATTTTGCACAATAAATGATTTTCCAGCATATGGTAATTTGAGCGGTTATAGTGTGAAATGTCATTTTGCATGCCCTTTGTCAAGAAGACATAAGTTATATCCAATTGAAACATGGACAAAAGACTACGTACAATAGGCATCGAAAGTTTCTAGTTGTTAATCATCCATATCATAAAATGAATAAAGCATTTAATAGATGTCAAGAGAATGCAATTGCATCAATACCATGCAATGGTGAACAAGTATATGAGCAAGTGAAAAATATTAATATTGTGTTTGGAAAGGCCCAAAAGAAATCCAATGAGAAAAACATTTGGAAGAAATAATCTATATTCTTCAATCTTCCTTATTGGTGTAAGTTGGAAGTTAGACACTGTATAGATGTCATGCATGTTGAAAAAACTGTTTGTGATAGTATAATTAGGACATTGCTTAACAAAAAAGGAAAGACAAAAGGTGGAATAAAAGTACGACAAGATTTGGCGGACATGGGTATACGTTATGAGTTACATCCACAATCAGTTGGAAAACACACTTACTTACCTCCAGCTTGTCATATTCTATCAAAGAAAGAAAATAGAATCTTTTGTGAGTGTTTACGTGAGGTCAAAGTGCCATAAGGATACTCCTCAAATGTTAAGAGTTTTGTGTCT